AGGACCTATTAGGAGAGGACATAAATCTCTCTTTCTCTCTCTCCGTCTCTCTTTTACTCTCCCTCTCTGTCTCCTTGCGAAGCATCACACAGTCGCAATGTCTCACAGTCTCTTTATAGGTTCAAATTAGCTGTCTAGTATAGTTTTGTCTTCATAAAAGATTATTTTGCAAAAAAAAAGAAGAAAAAAAAAGAAAGAAAGAAAAAGAAAGTTTTTCCTTTTAGAAATGCGGAAATTTGCATGCGATCAAAAGTGCGAGGGGTGAAAAAAAAGTGTTGATGAATTTAGATGCTAATGGTATAACTTTATTCCCCTTGGGTTTATGTTATGGTGTTTTAAAGGTCAATGACCTTTAGGTTTGAATTTTATGGATTGTATATTTTACAACTGTCACAGACGTGGGTTTTAATGAGCCATTTACATCGCGTTTTAAACAATATACCTCGAATAAATATAAAAAGAGGTATTGTAATTTATGTGTAATTAAGAAATTCTGAATATTTTCCATATAGGTATATTCTACTTATTGGATCTTTTTAAATGTCTAATTACTCTCGAATTTATTACTTAATTATTAGCTGATATTAATTAACATTTTTAACACTTTTATGCTTCGCATTCATCTACTAGAATCTACTATTTACTATTTTTTTACGATTTGCTACTATTTGGAAGAAAAGCTACTTTTTTCTTTCTGTTTTCTGAATTTACATTTACACTTCTTTAAAAATCCGCTAATAGTTGAATTAAAAAAAATTAATATTTATTTTCTTCAAAATAATCATTAAATCTGTAATTTATTATTCAATTATTTTCGCAGATAATGAAATTCTTTGAAATAAATCAATTATTTTCAAAAGATTTTGATAAAATTTGTTTAAAAGAGTTGAATTGTTTTCAAATGCAATTTTTGTTGATTTTTCTTGAAAAAAATTTTATTTATTCCCTCCTTAAAAATTCAATTAGTTTCAACAATTTAAAAAAAATTCTTTACAAGAATTCAATTATTTTCACAAATAACAAAGTTTTCAAAGCAATTCAATTACTTAAAAAGAAAATTATTAAAATTCATTGTAAAAATTCAATTATTTTGATCAATAATAAAATTCTTTGCAAGATTTTAATTATTTTTAATCCAATTTTAATTATATTTCCCAAAAAATTAAATTATTTTTAAAAATTTTAATAAAAAATTCCATTATTTTCAATAATTTCAATAAAATTGTTCACAAGAATTAAATTGTTTTCACAATTATATTAAAATTTTTTGCAGTTGTTTAATTAGAAAAATTTAATAACATTTTTTACAAAAATTCAACTATTTTGATAAATAATAAAATTATTTACTTGATTTCAATTATTTTCAATACAATTTTATAATAAATAAATATAAAATTAAATAATAAAATTCTTCGGAAGATTTTAATTTTTTTTTTTTATACAATTTTAATTGTATTTCTCGAAAAATTTAATTATTTTTAAAAATTTTATTAAAATTCTTCGCAAAAATTCAATTACTTTAAAAAATTTTAATAAAAAATTCTTCGAAAATATTAGAAACGCATATATGGTAGGAATTTTTAGAAATAACGTAATTTCAAATTGTTTTTTTGAATTGAAATCTTTGAAAATTTTAATTTATCTGTAAAATTCTAATAATATTTAAATGTTTATTACATCATTAATTTATTATTTTTCTAAAAATTTATTAAAGTTTTGAATAATTTTATTCAAAACGTCTAAAAAATAATTGAATTTTGAAACAATTGGATTTATAATTTTTAGAAATAGTGAAATTTTAAAAGATTTTTTATTGAAATTATGGAGAATTTTAATTATTGCGAGAAAATAAATAACAATCAGTATTTAAATATTTATTTCACAAAAATTGTTTAATTTGTGAATAATTTAATTTTGAAATTCTGAAAAAATTAATTATTTGAAAAATTGTAATTAAAAATTTTTGAAATTAGTTGAATTCTCGAAAGTAATTTTAAAAAATTGAAACAATTGTAAATTTTGTCAAATTTTATTGAAATAAATTTTATATTTTAAAGAATTTTATTTTTTTACTCTCAAAAATTAATTTTTAAATAGAATTGTATTGCTGAAGAATTCTAACTAAAAATTAGGAAAATAATCAAATTTTAGAATAATTTAGAATTGAAATTATTACCAGAATAAAAAGAAAGTTAATATTTTTTCTGTAAATCAGGGAAAAGTCAAGGAAATGCATAATTTAATTTTTTGATTTTTGTGAATCAATTAAAACGAGTTTTTTAATTATCAAATTTAATTTTTCGTTTGCTATTTTTTACTACTTCTTTTCAGTCATAAAGTTACTTTCCACTTTTTTTCAAAAATAATTATCTATCAGTCAAAAAATATTTACTTTAAATCCAATTTAAAATCTTTTGAATTATACTTTTCTTTTTTAAATTTAAATTTAAAATATACAGAAAAATGTTGCCAAGGGAAGAAAAATAGTCTCATTTTTTAAAAATTAGTGAAAGTTGAAGTATGTATACGTTTACTTTTTGATTTTTTGCCCCTATAGACACGGAGAAAGAAGATACTTACCATTATTTTTAAAGTAAGACCTTCCCAATGGGACTTGATAGTGATACCAGGGGGATAGTATAAAGTCAAAGAAAGTTCATACCCCCTTAACAATACTTTATCTTTTACACTCTTAGTCACACTTCACACTTTCTTTTTTTTTCGAGTTTTGTCGTTTTCTTCTTTCTCGAAACGAACTGTGTGAGACTGTTCGCAGATTAAAAAAAAAAAAGAGGAAAAAAATGGTTCGTGAAGAAATTCTTGATTCGAGATATGTAGAAAAAAAGGGCGCGAGACTGAGGACTATAAATATTGTACGTGGTTCGAATATCAGTAAAACATTGAAGCGAGCAGAATATGTAGGTTTGAATTTCTGAGAATGATAAAAGATTTGCGAGACGTATTATATATATATAGTGCCTAGTAAAAATTGCCGCTTCTTGGAAGAATAAAAATTCATATCTTATATTTATATACCGAAGACGTCAATCAAAGTTTGTAGGAATCAGAATTTTTTTCCATTCTTCAAAGATTTTCATTTGAAAATTTATTAAAAAGAAAAACTCGAATTTCTTGAGTGGAATTTTTAATTTTCACCATTTCATTTTAAATCGTTTTCCTTTTTTTTTTTTTTTTAAATTATACACTCAGTTTCTATTTTTTTGATGAAAGAATATTTTTGTTTACAGTTTTTCGTATTTTGTTCCATTTAATTTAATGGACTTGGGATAGAAACGACTACAAAGGTTTTGAAGTGCTGTTTCAACGTCTTTTAAGGATACTCTTCCTTTTCCTGCGAGATCCGCTATTTGTTTCGCATCGCTGAGAGTTTCGTGTAATATATCCTGGAAAATTGTTTTCAATACTGTTTGCAGACGTGCCGATAATATAAAACGATTTTCTGCAAAGAAAATAGAAATTAAAACACGAGCGCAGAAGCCAATATTAGGTGAAAACAATTTTGTACCTCTCATGAAACGGAAGTTCAATTTTCCAGTTGAACGTTTTTCTGTGAAACTAAAATTTACCGCATGTTTTTTTATCCGGTAATTTAGAACAGTAAGCTGTTAATTAAAGGATAATTTGTTGAACATTAAATTTTCAATTTTCTTTCACAATTTTTTTTTCAATTTTTTTTTTCTTTTGAATGTGAAATGTAACATTTTCCGTTTCATGGAAGTTTGGAAATTTTTTTCTCTTTTTGTTTCTAAGTTTTAAACTTGAAATTTGATTGAAAATTTTTTATTATTGACTTTATTTACCTTTGGTATTTGTCTTTTTCAGTGGCTTCTGAGCTTTTCGCGTTTTATTCTGACCGGGTTTGCGTGGCATGTCGATAAAATTTAAATTACCTTGTGCAGTGAATTTTTAATCGGAAATTCATCAATTGAATTGAATAAAGTTTTTTCTTTTTTTTTTATTGTAGGTTAAAATAATATTTTTAGCTTCCTGTCAGAATTTTTAGTAGCGGAAATAATTGTCTGGCGCGATACTTTTGTTTCTTGATTTTCTTTTTGAATTAAGAATTAATTTTGTTATAATAATTTTGAAAGAAGAAAATTTATTTGTTTTTCACGATTTGTTTGATATTTTTATTATTAGAGAATTTATAGTTATTTGGAGAAGAATAGAAAGAGTTGCTTTAGAATTTAGTAGACAGTTGTACAGCCAATAAATTTTTAAAGGCAAGACAATTTTTTATCAGAAATGTGATTTTTATTGGTCAATAAATAGTACACGAGACTTGTATCGAGAGCCTTTCAGCTTCGTTACATTGGAAAGGTTCAAGATATTTTTCAAGACTTCGGATAGAATTACGTCTTTAATATCGTTGAAGAATGAAGCTTAATTGTCTATCCAGTGATCCTATACAGCTGTGGGGGGAGGATAAGTGTATCCGATCTGATAAATCCTTTTTTCTCTTTTTGTTTTTCACCTTTCTTGAAATTTTTTTCTTTTTTTTTATATATTATACGTGAATTTGATCCTAATGGCTTGTCTCTTACAAGTACTTAGATTTAGTCACGAGCATAAAGCGATTACGAAAAGCAATTTCCCAAAAGTTGATTACTTAAAATGAAAATCCCTCTTTTCTTTCAAGTGATTTTTCTCCATTATTTCCATTATCCGAGGGGGTTTTTTTTTATTTCTTTTTCTCCATGAAATCAAGATTTTTAAGAGAAAAATTTGATTTACTTGATTGAATTTTTTCTCTAGTGGGTGCAAAAGTTTTAGTTTGCCATTTTTTTTCTTTTCTTGAAAGTTGTAAGTTTTTTGTAAACTCTCCACTCTAGGGATTTCAATTTTTTTTATTAAAATATATTTTCTAATGTAGCTATTAATTTAATTTAGCCAATAAATTTTCTAATGCAAAGTATTTTCCAATTAAAGTATTGAAATATTTTCCAATTTTGGTATTAAATTTGTCTTCTATTTTTCAGTTCTAGATTGCATTGTCTCCGGTTGGGGTCCATGGTCGAGTTGTGACAGTGAATGTGGTCCTGGTTCACAGTCGAGGACGAGGATGGTGGTGAGAAATGCTGAAAATGGAGGAAAACACTGTCCACAGCTAATGCAGCATCGAGGCTGTCAAGGAACTAAGTGCCATACACGTAATCCAAAGTCTGCTTTGAAAGGTAAGAGCCTTCACCACTTCATTAAATTACTTATACTATGCGCACAAAAGAATAATAAAAGCTAAAGTTAAACCCTTAAAAAACTTCAAACTATAAACCGCAAATTTCCACGATAAATTCATGCCCAAGATCTTTTTATTTCATTAAAAAAAGAAGGGAAAAAATGATCAAGTTAAATTCATGACCGTAAAATTTTTAATTTATTACACTTTTGTAATGAATTTTCTAAAAAGAATTTTTTTTACAATTTTTTTTTCGTGAATTAAATTACAATTCGATTTTTAGACTGAATTTTTTTTCTCTTTCTCTCTCTCGCTGAATTGTCTTAATTTATTAAAATTTTGTTAATTTATTACAGGGTTGTTAAAAGTCAGGAAATTCAGGAAAAAATCAGGGAAAATGAAATTTGTCAGGATAATGTCAGGGAATTTTATCTGGAAAAATATCAAATTTCTAGAATTACAACAAAAATTCTGGTTATTGGTGTCCAAAAATATTTTTGGACTTAAAAACCTTGAATTTCTTTCACTTTAAAAACTTTTGAATCATAATGATTTTTAAAACAATACCTTGACTTCTTCTTAATTAAAATGAATGGTGAATTAAAATGAACCATTAATTAATTATAAATTCTTAATTAATTATTTAATTTAATTAAAAAAGTTCTTTCTGTAAATAATTAAATTTATTTTAAGTTGGTAATTTAATTCTAGAATAACTTTCTTAAAGTTATAGTTTATAATTAAATTAGAAAAGATTTTAGTTTAAAAAGTAGCAATTTTCAGAAATAATTAAATTTTAGAAGGTTTTAAACTATTTTTCAAAATTTCAATTACTGTGTAAAAATTAATAATAATTGAATTTTAAGGAATTATTCAATACTTAAATAATTAATTAATAAAACTTAAATAATCAGAAAACTAAAGTAAATAAAAAAATTGAATAAACGATTCAATTTATTTAAAAATCTAAAATTTTAATTCTCTAACTATATAATTATTTTCAATTAAATTTAATTTCAATTTTATCAATTAATAATTAAATTATTCTCGGACGTTAAATTTCTATACAAATTAGAATAAGAAAATTGAAGTTATCGATCACTATGAGTCAAGGAGTGATTGTTAACTTTAATCTTTCTTTATTTAACGATTGAGTTATAAAATCATCATTATTATATTTAAATAAAAAAATTATTCATGTTTTAAATAATTTTATTTAAATTTTTGAAAAATTGTGTTTCCGAGAACTTTTTTGTGACATTTTCTTTAATTTTTTCAAAAGAATTTAAGTTCATTTTAGTAATTTTTTATTAAAGATTATATAAGTAAATTATTTTCAAAACATTTTGATAAAACATTTGTTTAAAAGAGTTTAATTCTTTTCAAATGCAATTTTTGTTGATTTTCCTTGAAATAATTTAATTATTTAGAAAAGTGTTAACTGCAATTTCCAGAAGAAATTAATTATTTTTAATATTTTTGATAAAATTTTTTTTATGAATTTAATAATTATTTTCAATACAATTGCAATTAAATTCCTCAAAAGATTTTAATTATTTTTAAAATTTTTACTAAAAAATCCCTCTTCAAAAATTCAATTAGTTTCAATAATTTTAAAAACAATTCTTCACAAGAATTCAATTATTTTCACAAATAATAAAGTTTTCACGGCAATTTAATTATTAAAATTATTAAAGTTCTTTGCAAAAAATCAATTATTTTGATAAATAATAAAATTCTTCCCAAGATTTTAATTATTTTTAATCCAATTTTAATTATATTTCTCGAAAAATTAAATTATTTAAAAAAATTTTAATTAAAAATATACAAATTTTTCAAGTTTTAAATAATTTTATTTAATATTTTGAAAAAATTGGGTTTCCGAAAAATTTTTCTTGACATTTTCTTGAATTTTTTAATAAATTTAAGTTCATTTTATTAATCTTTTATTAAAGAATTATCAAAATAATGGTTTTGTGAAATTGAATGGAAAATAATTGAATTTGTTAAAGAATTTAATTACAGATTTTAAAAAATATTGAATTTGTAAATAATTGTAATCTAATAATTGGTAAATAATTGGATTTTATAAAAAATCCCAATTCAATGAAAAGTAGATTTTTGAAACATTTCAATTATATTTTTTAAATATCATTGAATATTTATGAAGGAGTAACTGAAAATTTTTGAAATAATTGAATTTTTCGAAAATTCTATTAAAAATAATTAAATTTTACTTCTAAATTTTTTTTTTATTTTAATTAAACTTCCCTTGAATTTTTTTTATAATATTCAGGGAAAAAGTCATAATTCTATCTTGAAATTAAGGAAAAGTCAAGGGAAATAAAATACAATTTTTGTGGCAACTTTGTATTAGTTTATTAAAATAATTAATATTTGTTTATTTATTTACACTTGTTATTAACACAAATAATTAATATTAAGATATTAAGTATAATATCCGATGTTTAAAAAGGCATTTTTTCAAGTGCGTAATTTAGAAGTAAATTCCTTATATTACGTTGGTTATTATTATAAGGAATGTGAGTTGATATGGGCGGGAAAAAAAAATTGAAACGAATTTGAAATAAGTTGAAGGTCTTTATCAAGTTTAATATCCATTTTAATCTGATCATTTTGGAAAGAGCAAAAGCCAGTCATGCAAGAAATTCGTCATGCGATTCGTCTATTAAGGTTTGCAATTAGAAGAGGTAGTTCGAGGGGCTAATGGACCAAGAGATTAGAACTAATTGTTAGTAGTTACAAAATCGATTTTGATTCTAATAATCCTGATTCGCTCTTAGAAATTGCATTGAATTGTATGAACCTAATGCAATTGTTTTAAGAAAATAAGAATTTTAATTAAATTTTTAATTGAGATCTTTGTTTTTTTTTTCTTAAACATAGGAAATTATTCTTTTCTTCACTTTAATTATATTCTAGATTTTCTTTCTTTTCCCCATTAAATGAAAAATAATGTTTCGTTTTTTTCAATTACAGAAGTCGCTCTATTACTGCCAGCAGAATTAAGTGAAGTTCGACACATAAATGACACCAATGATATTCGAACGAATCTTCGACTGCAATACAGAGAAAGTCCCGAATACGATTCTTCTAACGAGTAAGTTTTTTCCTTCTGTATTTAGATTTTGATCGTATTTAAATTTTGATTTAAATTTTGATTTAAATTCTGATTTAAATTCTGATTTAAATTTTGATTTAGATTTCGATCAGATTTAAATTGTGATCATATTTATTTATTGTAATTTCTCGGAAAGTCAGTATTATAGGTTAATTGTAAAAAAAAGTTTGATTTGTCCTTAACTTTCCTGAAAAATTGTAAACATTTAAAAGTTTCTTCGAGGCTAGGATGAAACCTTTAACATGTAAGCTCGGCTTATAAACTTTACTTCGTCGCTTATTCCTTGCTTATGATAGGTTCATCTAAAGTTTGTTTCAAGCTAAAATTTTAGACAGTTCCTTCAGGAGAAACTCATCATAAAAGACTCTTTAGAATTAAATTACACACACACACACAAATAACTTATTTTTTCCTCGACGAGCATTAAAAAGTTATTAAGTTTAAATTATTGAAATTTATTAAAAATTCGTAACGCTATCAAGAAAAGTGGGAATTTATAAACTCCTAATGTTTATTAAACAAGATAGTTTAAAAAATTATTATTATTATTCGAAAAAATAAAATTTTATCCTTCTATTGTAATTTTTTAAATTATTTTTTCCATTTATAAAATTTTATTCGAACGATAATAATTTTTTTAATTGTTTAGTTTAATGAACGTTATAAAAATTTCCCGTTTATAACGTGTATAAAATTTCCCTTTTTTTTATAGTTTTACAAATTTTAATAAATTTAATAACCTTAACTTTTTTTATGCTCATCGAGGGAAAATAATTTTTATAAAAAAAAATTTTTTATCTTTATAGAAAGTTGGTGGGAAAATTACTGTTGGAAGGAAAAATTAAACGATTGTCTCTATTGTTGAATATGAAAATAACATTGTGAGATGTTGAAGTGAAGGATTCTAATTTTTATAGCATTAATGAAGAAGTAGAATGCTTCGTTAAAGTTATTTCTCGTCGACAAGGGAAATGGAAATGGACGTTAATGAGACTTTACCTTTAACTCGTCAAGCGTCTTGTTATGGGAAACTCAAAAACATACCGCAAACTTGGAAACTCTGAGATTTGTTTCACAAAGCAAGAGAGTTATTTTTCATCATTATGCTAATGTTAAAAAAAAGGAACTTTTTTTATTCCTTTTCTCCTTTTTTTTCATCTACAAACCATCCAATTATTCTTCTTAAAAGAATTATTACCATGAAACAAATACATGAAGAAGTTTTCTTTTTACTATTGTTTTACAGTAGATGGTTATATATTTTTGTCATTATTGAAAATAATTTTATACTCAAAAGTAAAATTGAATTAAAATAAAAATTCGAAGTTATAGAATTTTTTCTTCTTAGTTTTTAGTCTATTCGTAGTGTGATTATTTCAAGCATTAGATAGTTTGACTTTTTGGATTTTTTTCGCCTGTTTTCAGAGAAGACAATTTTCTCGATTTACTTTCAAAAAATGAGACTTTTGACTTGTTTTCTAGATATTGTAACAAAATAACAATTTTTTTGTTTTGAAAATGAGATAAAACTAAAATGTAAATTAAAATTTAATTAATTTTTCTAAGATAAATAAATATTCGAATTATTAAAGAATTTTTTAATAATTGAAGTTCCGTAAAATTTTATTTAAAATAATTAAAATTAAAATTAAATACAAAAATCAGAAAAAATTTAATAACAAATTCAAAAAATAATTAAATACTCAAAAATTTTAATGAAACATCTTCAAATGATAATTTAAAAATTTAAATTAATGAAAATTAGCTCAAAAAATATTATATTAAAATATTTTTTAAAAAAGTAATTTTTAAATTTTTTTCATGATTTTTTTAAAATTTCATTATTTTCAATGTTTTCAATTAAATATTTCCAAAAATTAAAATATCTACAAAAAGTAAATAAAAATGTTTGAAAAATCTAATTTTTCATAATTGTTATTAAAATTTTGCAAGAAAACAATTATTTTCAAAAATTTTTAATTAAAATTCTGCCATAAAATTGATTAGTTTTTGAAATTGTCCAAAAGTTTTTTTACGAAATTCAATTATTTTCGAAAAATAATATAATTATCTGAAAGAAAGTAAATTAAAGTTTACAAAAATGAATTCATCAGACTTAAAATCATTAAAATTTTTGTAAAGTCAAGTGTTTTTATATTTGTAATTAAAATTTTTTAAAAACTTGATTATTTTTAATATTTTCCAAAAATTCTTTTAAAAATATTCAATTTAAAGAATTTTACTAAATTCCAATTGTTTGGAAGTTTTTCGATTATTTATAATTTAAAAAATCTATTGTCATTCCAAAATTATTTTACAATTATGTTTAAATAATTGAATTTAGAAATCATTGGAAGGTCAGAGACAAAATAAATTTTTTTACGATACTGAATAAAATAAAGGATTTTTTTTTGAATCTTTAATCGACTAAGGCGATTATTTTGCACCTAAAAGTCGATTCGAGGACTGTTATTTCCATTTATATCGATTCTTCAGTAAGTCTCTTTCAAAAACTCCAATATAGAAAATTTTTATTCGATTTTCATGATTAGTTTACGATTTTTCGCTCATATAAGTCGAGATAAAAGTTTGAGATATGTACAAATCTCTTTTACTTTCTTTTTTTCTGCCTTCTCTCTGAGGACAGGAAAGCTTTTACGGGAAGGTTGGAAATATCAGCAGATATTTGGCTTCATTATCTATTCACGTAAATTCCCTTTTGATGATCTCTGGTACCCGTGAGCGTATATATAAAACTAGACTTTTCTCAATATATATATATATATATGAATTCCCAGGGGTGTTCAAAGTGATGTGTTCTTTCAACCATCACTGCTTTTCGGATGTTCCTGCTTGTTCACGTTCTTATTTGTAGAAGAGATTTAACGAGTGATAACGCTTTTTTCTATTCAACACACAAGAAAAGAAGAAAATAGAAAATCGAGACCTTGCGCGCAATGTATTCATATAAAAAAAAATAGGAGCGAACCAATTTCAACGGATGTTCTTTGTACAGAATGTAATCCACACTTTTCGCGACTTTTTTAATATTAGGTTTCAATCCTTCTGCAAAACTTGTATGTTTTTTAATTCTGAATGGGAAATTTTTAATTTTTTGCTCTTTTTAAAATAGTGGTAATTTGATCGGGGTGCTTGGATTTAGTAACAGGGAAAGAATACTTTTAGAGTATGTATTTCAGGGTTGTCGCAGGTCAGGAAATTCGGGGAAAAGTCAGAGAAATTAGAATTGGTCAGGGAAATCAGGAAAAAGTCAGGGATTTTTATTAAAAGTACTGGAAAAAATTTAATTTTTAGAATATATAAGAAAATTCTGAATTTTTTGTGTCTTTTTTGTTTGTCTTATAAACTGGGAAATTGACAAGAATTCTAATAAAAAACCATCAATTTTTTCTATTTCTGACAATAGTTTCTTTTTAAATAACTCAATTCTTGAAGAACTATCATAAAATTATTACTTAGAAATTATTTAATGAATAATTTTACTTAAAAATTTCAAAATTAATTGGATTTCAAAAAAGAGTTGCGTTTACAATCTTCATAAATAGATGAACTTCAAAGGTTTCAATTTAAAATTTTAGAAAATTTCAATTTTTAATTAATTTAAATAGAAATTTTCAGAACAAACGAGTACAGAAATTCAATTATTTTCAAAAAATTTAGTAAAATTAAATTTCAATTATTTTAATAAAATTTTCCAAAAGAATTTAATTATTTAAACAAAATTTTAATAAAAATTTCTCAGGAATTCAAAAATAATTCTGAGAAATTCAATTGCTTCGAAAAATTTAAATAAAATTCTATTATTTTAAAAATAGCTGACAAAATTCTTTACAAGATTTAGTAAATAAAATTTTAACAAAATTTTCCTATGCAATTCAATTATTTTCAATACAATTCTTTTTAATAATCCTTTTTTTTATGGGAATTCAATTATTTAAAGAAATTTGAATAAAATTCTTCGCAAGAAATCAATAATTTTCATAAATAATAAAATTTTTCTCGAGAAATTAATTATTTAAAAAAATTTTGATAAAATGCTTTATAAATTTGAAAAATTATAATAAAATATATCATAGAATACAATTATTGTCATAAATGTTTGTAAAAATCTTCGAAACAATTCTTTAAAAAATAAATTCTTCGAAGGAATTCATTTAATTGACAAATTTTAATAAAATTTTTCACAGGAATTCAATTATTTAAAAAAAAAAATTTAATAATATTCTTAGTAAGATTTCAATTATTTTAATTTTTTTGATGGAATTTAATTATTTTCAAAAAGTTTTAAAAAATTTTGAGAAATTTAATTATTATTTAAAAAATAATTTGAATAAAATTCTTTACAAGAAATTAATTATTTTCATGAATAATAATTTTTTTCTCCGGAATTCAATTATTTTCACAAATAAAATTCTTCAAAATTTCAAAAAATTCCTCATTTCAATTATTTTTATTATCTACTATTTTAATACAATTTTCCAAAAGAATTCCACTATTTAAAAAAAATTTTAATAAAAATTTCACAGGAATTCAAATACCAATTTCTTATAAATTTCTTCGCACCAATACAATTATTTTTAATTTTTTAATGAAGTTTCTCGAAAAAATTCAAATATATTTAGAGAATTGAAAAAAATAGCTCTGTGAAATTCAATTATTTCGAAAAATTTAAATAAAATTCTTTTAAAAATTCTATTATTTAAAAAAATTTCGACAAAATTCTTTACAATAAGATTTAGTTAAATTTGCAATTTTAATAAAATTTTCCTATACAATTCAATTATTTTCAATACAATTCTTCTTAAGAATTCGAATTATTTTCACAAATAATACATTTTTTTTATGAAAATTCAATTATTTAAAAAAATTTGAATAAAATTCTTCGCAAGAAATCAATTTTTTTCATAAATAATAAAATTTTTCTCGAAAATTCAATTATTTAAAAAAATTTTGATAAAATTCTTAATAAATTTGAAAAATTATAATAAAATTGATCATAGAGTACAATTATTTTCGTAAAATATAACATTCTTCCTATAGGAATACAATTATTGTAAGAAATGTTTGTAAAAATCTTCGAAACAATTCAATTATTTTCACTTAAAATTTTAAATTTTGAGAAATAATTTAATTTTGAAAAGGGTTCAAATTAAAATCTTTGAAAATTTAAATTTATAGTTTCAATATTCTTATGATATAAAATAATGATTTTATCACTCTGTCGAAATCGACCGATTTCTTCATGTTTTATAATAATATTCTCATAAGTTATTGAATTTCAGAAGATTTGAATTTGAAAATCTTAATTCCTATAGAAAAATTTTAATTATTAAATATTTATTTAAAAAAGAATTTATTGATGAAATCGAATAATTTTACAGTTAAAGAAATTCGTAAATAAATGTAATAGAACATTTTTTAGAGTATCTAATAATTTTTGAAATGAATCAAAATATTCTTCAGAATCAGGAAAAAAGTTGAAATTTTGTTTGGAAATCAGGAAAAAGTCAGGGAAAAACAAAATTAAATTTTTGTGACAACCCTGTATTTGAAAAGAATTTGAAAAGTATTCCAAAAATGATAGTTTTACGAATATCCTGGGGAATTTATTCGGTACATTTATTTTATTTACAAATATTTTGTTTACAAACTTCCGTTTGTAAAATAATTTTCGTAAAGTATTTTTTTTTTCCTAAATAACTCATTTGGATAAAAAGGAATAAAAAGTTACAAAAGGAAACAATTCGAAAAATTTGAAACAAACAACGGGAAATATTTGGAAATTTTTTTTTTAACTAAAAGAAATTGTTTAAATTCTATTTTTTTTATTTTGAAACAATATTGCTTTATTAATAAATGAAAAAAAAAATTGAATACAGTGTTGCTTTATCGCTGGTCTGCTTTATTGCTGTTTTGTGATGTATAAATATAGGGTCTTGTTGAAGTGGGGCAATTAAAGCGTTTAAAAGGATCTTCCCATACTGCAAATTTTTGACCTACTGGCATTAACAATAAATTCCAAACAGCGTTAGCACCTGTATGGAATTGACAAATAAATTTAAAAATCATTGAATTATCTCTCGTGTAGGTATTGCTTGGACAATAATAAACGTGATTCTCTCTTTTTTTATTGTTACACTTGAACCCATTCAATTGGCGAAATGGAAATAAAATTGTGTTTTAATCAGTTTATTGATATATTGAAAGTAATCTCTTTATAAATACGAGAAAGTTGTATTTTTAGTTATTAATTCCATTGGCTCGAAATTTGAATTAATTGAGAATTTATTGTTAATGAAAGAATTTTTTTGTTGATTGAAAAATATTGATTTTTTTCTGTTTATTGTTTTTGATTGTTTTAATTCGTATATAAATTTAATTAGTTGATAATAGAAAATGAATTGTATAAAATTAATTATTGAGAATATAAAATTAATTATTGAAAATATAAAATTAATTATAATTATATTTTTTCAGGTCTTTGAAGGTGGCGTCGACAGTGAGTGTCAAAATTTTTCGCTGAAACAAAACTGGTGGCAGTGATATTTTCATCGCGAGAAAAAAAAACAGGAAAAATAGTTTTCGACACTGAATTTGTCGACGCCAATTTCATGGACTTAATTAATTCAGTGTCAAAATTAATAATTAAAAATCGTGTTTATTTACTCACTTCGAGCATTCGTCTTTTGACTGATGTGAAAACAATCGGGTGCCAAATGAGTTCGGTGTACATTGTCATCGTCATTTATAACTTGAAATGTTAAATTGACAGTGAAGGGTTGATGAACAACTGCAAAATCATCTCGTTGAAATTCCTCTCGATTTGCAATTTTTCCTTCTAATAATTGAACTCTGAAATTTGAGAATACAATTCAAAATCCAAATGATAGAAAAATTTCTAAATTTTGTAGCGTATTTAAAAAAGAGAAAAAATAGATAGATAGTCTTAATTTATTTGTATTTAAATACGAACCGAGTCATAATGTCAAATAATTCTTTTTGATTTTGCCTCTTCGCCATGGGTCCAAAAAAGCATGGACACTCGATTTCGAGAACTAATTCGCAATACGGTAGTCTATTATCAATGTCCATTATGGACCGTATATGCGGAGGAGGGACTAGTGCTACAAATGTTCGCGGTAAATTATCTCGAAGTATTCTCAAAGCTGCGGTAAGATTGCTCTCGTGATATTCAATTTCCAGTGATGGTTCTTCCAAGTAACACATTTCAGAGCAAAAATCATTAGCTCCCATCATGATTGAAATGAACTGAAGGATAGTTGGATTTATTAATTGGATTAATAATTAGTATTCGATTTTATTATTACAATATTTATAATTAGAAAGTTGGTCAAATTTTTAATTATAATTATAAACAGACATGATTATTTAAAAAAATTGAAAAACATTGTTTAATTCAATAATTTCCAAAGTTTTTAATTAAAATTACTAAAAAACTACATCATTTTCAAAAAACTTAAGAAATTCTTAATTCTTCAAAAGAATTTAATTATTGATAAAAATTCGATTAAAACTATTTAAAAGAATTTAATTTTCAATCAATAATTTTAATAAAATTTATTAGTAAAATTATTAATTCTAAATATTAACTAAATTCAAAAAATAAAATTATTAACAAACACGATTATTTAAAAAAAAAAAACTTGAAAGAAATTGTTTATAAAATTCGAGTACTTTGGAAAATTTCAATAACAATTAATAAAAGAAACTCCATCATTTTTAAAAAATTCAAAGAAATTCTTCAAAAAAAATTAAATTAGGATTTTCAAAAATTTTATTGAAATTCTTCTCAAAAGATTCATTTATTTGCATAAATAAAAAAATTCTTCGAAAGAATTAAAATATTTTCAATACCTACAATTTTAATTAATTAAATATAATTCAATATATTCAATATAAAAATAATTCAATTATTTTTTTTCATTTTTATAACATTCTTTGAAAGAATTGATTTATTTTCAATTATTTCTAATAAAATCTTATTCAGGAATTCAATTATTTTCAATTATTCTGAAGAAATTGTTCTTAGGAATTTAATTATTTTCATAAATAATAACATTTTTCAAAAGAATTTAATTATTTTGGTCAATAATAAAATTCTTCTTAAAAAATTAAATTAAATTAAAAATTAAAATTCTTCTTAATTATTTTCAATGCAAATTTTATTAAAATATTAAAAATAATTTAGTTAAAAAGGAATTGTAATTAAAAAAATTATAGAAATTATTAAAGAATCTCCATCATTTTAAAAAAATTAAAAGAAATTGTTTAAAAGAATTTAATTAGTATTATCAAAAATTTTAATGAAATTCTTCGCAAGAATTCAAATATTTGCATAAAAAATGAAATTCTTTGAAAGAATTCAATTATTTTTAATACAATTTTAATTTAAATTTCTCGATGTTACGTATCACGGGCAACTAATGCAGAGAAAAATATCATTTTTCATTTCAATTATATGATTTAATTAATGTTATTCTTTTCGAGCGGCAGAAAAGAATAGTGTGAGGTGCGATAGCTCGGGTATTAAGGAAGGTTCCAACTATATGTATTTTTAACATTTATTTATTCATTTATTTTCGATGAGTACAGTAAAGCGTGAATCAAAAGGACAATTTAAACTCTAAAATAATGCGCTTACTCACTGAATGATGATTCCCTGTTATTAATCCAAATTATAAGTGTGTAAACTTCACTAAAATTTTAACTATAAATTAAACTACTTTTTGTATTATTTAAAAACTACCGGGACACTTGTTCCCGGGCACAAAGCAGGTGGAGCCTCACTCGCGATCCCGAAACCACTAAAACCTCGGTTCACGAAGATTAAACGATTAATCCACGTATGTGCACGTAATCGACTCAATTAACCGATTAATTGTTTCGTATTCACAAAATGATTAAAGTCTTATGGCATTCAGCCGGCTAGCACTTAGTATTACGCGTTACACAATTTAATATCAGTAAAGAGGAAAAACTTATGTGCACATAACCAAGAGGTTGAACTTTGGTTTTCGCGGATCGAGATCGGAGAAAAGACAGAAGTACCCTTTTTTGCAAAGATTGAGATGATTGAGTTTCTGAGGACCAGGGCGTTCCCAAATTTTCCCTTACCATTTTTCTTTAACCAATTGGATTTTTGGGAGTTTTAGGAGGAAAGGGAAAAATGGTCATTTGTAAAGTTAAATTTTGGGTCTTGAACTTGAGATTGGGTGGTACGACAAGGGGCTGGGGTGCGGTACTCAGGCAGCCTTATTTCTTAGAAATTTCAGGGTTGCTATAATGGGGTTGAGTGTTATAAACCATCGGTTTATTCGGCAAAAGTATATTTTTTGCTTTACAACATTGATTGTTGTCTTGCTGCAATTAGCTGTACCTTCCCAGATGATTCCCATATTGTCGAGCCCATCTTCACCAGATTAAGTTGTAAAAATTTATTATATTTTCGTGAGAAAATTTTAAGGAAACGGATTATAGAAATGTAAATTGTTTAGGGGTTAGAAAAATGTGTAAGAGATCTAAAAACCCGAGGTCCTAAGCTAAAAAAACATAAAATAAACTAAAAGTATTTATCATAAAGGAAGTAAAATTGGTATAATAAAAGAGAAAGTTCACCATTCTGTGATGTACTAAAATAATATAAATTTAGGAAGGAAATAATAAAAATACTAAAAATAATCTAGAAATATATGCGAAAATAAAATCTACAGGAACGTTACACCCCCCTACTTAGACTAAACATATTCTGCAAGAGATGTTTTGTTACCGGCGAGCTTGGCAGGGACTGACATGATCGGTTCGGTGAATGGAGATCCAGAAGATTGAGTTTTTGCATTTCTCTTCTTGCTTTTTGGTAGTTGTAATTATTATTTTCTTCCAACTGCTTTATTAGGTGTCGATCAGTGGTTGAGTGCAACTTCTCATGTCAGTTTGTGCATCTCGCTAACAATACTATTCGAAACGGGGTGAACGTCTCCTTTAATTTTTAAGAGTTTAATCTTATAAGTTACATTCATGATTTTTATTTACCTAATTTTTAATAAGATTAGTTGTACAGTAGTTTTAATGTTTATAAAGAGATATGATTCGTTGCAAAAATTGAACACAAATTTCTTAACGTTGCAATAATTATTACTCTTAACATAATGTTCTTATAGTATAGAAAGAATTTAGCATTTATTTTGTTCAAAACATTAAAAGTGTTAGAGTTATCATTGATTGATATTATATTCGATTAAAAGTAATGAAAATTTTATAAAAGAAGTAAAAAGTAAAAAGCAAAAGAAGTAAAACTTAAAATATAAATAATACGAATAACATTTCAGTGGTTAATCGCATTCTGAGTTCGCTTCTGAATCAGAATCTGTCTGTTCCGAAAAATGGGCATGCTTCAATTTATTCATGTGCTTAAGCATTCTTTTACCATTCGCATTTTCAAGAATGACGTTATTTTTCTCTAATACTTCTACGATTTCGTAAGGTCCCAAATATTGACTGTCTAATTTATGCCCTGCTGGTTCACGAAGAGCATATACTATATCATTAATTTTGAACTGTTGTTCGTTCAACCTTTTATCATGATGTTGTTTAGATCGAAGTTTAGCGGTTTTCAAATTTTCGTTGGCGATAGTTCGAATTTGATCAATATGAGAGACAAGATCGATTAAATAACTTCCGTATGTTTCAATATGATCAATTGAAGGAAACGCGGATGGGATTCGCGCAGGTTTACCGTATACTAATTCGTGGGGAGTAAATTTAGTTCCTTCATGTACCGCGGTGTTGTATGAGAACATTGCAAATGAAATCAATTTATCCCAGTCCTCGTAATCGTTAATATAGTGTTTCAGATAGTCAGTGAGCACTTGGTGACTACGCTCTAGTGCACCATTGCTTTGGGGGTGATAACTAGATGTGGTTATCTGTTGTATTTTAAATATTTTCGCGAGATTAGACAAAATGTTATTCACGAATTCTTTACCGCAATCGGATAAAATTGCACGAGGGCATCCGTGTTTGGCAATTAAATTTTGAGCAAGTGCGTCGGCTACAGTGGATGCTCGTTTATCAGGAATTGCGACTCCGATGCAAAATTTAGTTAATTGATCTTGCATTGTGAATACATATCGGTTTCCATTTGGGGTGGTAGGGAGAGGGCCTACAAGGTCCAGAGATACCTTATCGAAAGCATCTGTAGGCGTGTCCGTAATAATCATTGGTTGACGGGTCTTTATTCGAACTAACTTTTGTAATTGACAACTATCACATGATCGTATGTAATCTTGGATATCACGCCTCATATCTGACCAGTGGAAACGTTCACGAATTCTACGGAAAGTCTTCGTAACACCTTTATGACCGCCAGTCAGACTTGAGTGGAATTCTTTAATTATACTTTTCCTTTGCTCTGGAAGAGGTGTTGCCACCTGCCCATGACAAATAGTAAATATTAAATCTTCTTTATCGAATATTTGCCGAATAGCATCGCGAATGGTATTTTGTGGGAGGTGATCAAGTCGGTCATTAACTCTCGAAACTCTGATAGTTTTAATACCTGTTTCTTTTATAGCGAGTTTTAAAGCTTGTAGAGCTTCATATACATCCGATGAGGATGCAGTATCGCAAAATTTATTTTTGCATATGACACTAAATGTTTTAATTCTGCTCGACTGTGACACGATTACTTGATTTTTTTCAAGTTTCCTGTCCTGGAATTTTTGTGTGTCTATGAATCCTAACTCAGATAGGGAGGATCCTATAGGAGTGGGGATTGCGCAATCAGCAGAAATAAAATGTAAATAGTTATCTCGGGACATGAGAAGACAATCCTTAGTTTCTTTGACAATACAATCATTATGACGATGGCGTTTCATTATTTGGTGATCTTCGTGCGGTGCAAGGTGGGACGACGGGTTCTCAGGTAAGGCTGCAGGTAGTATTGTCTCGTAAAGTCCTACTTTTGTGTTCGGTGGTAGTGGAGATTGAGCGTTAGCACTTAAATCAATTGTCGCTTTAACTGTCTCTTTAAATACTCGAGGAACAGGTGTTGAATGGGAAGAGCAAGGTAAAGGATCGTTTATTATTTCAAATGAAGTATTTTCTAAAACTGTTGCATTAATGTCGTTTGTCAAAGTATTGTCGTCTTCAGATTCTGATGTGGATTCATTAGCCATGGGTGGTAAAACAATTACGGAAGAATTATCTGTAGTATTGTGGTTGCGATTTAAAACTCTAGGGGGTAGGTATTC